CATTTCGCTTATCAAAAAGTGAACTTTTAGAACGTAAACAACGGTGGATTACAAATGTTTTAGAAAAACAAAAACTAACCTCATTGACATTGGACATTGACCCATTGTTTACCTAGTGAGATAGGACGATCTTTGTTTCGAACTCGCAGTTTTGAAACAATTTCCCGCTCAAAAATATCACACATGATTCAGGCGATGCGGTAATCAATGCTAATAAGTAATATGCATTTTCAATCTTAAAGCGGACATTTCACAGGCTACTGATCACTGGCCTCACACTTTAGTGAAAATATCACGCACCCGAGGAGTCAAAGTTGTTATATCGTGGCTGTTTGGCATCATTTGAAAACAAAAAATTTTGCATAAAATTAAGCAAATTTTGCATAAAATTAAGCAAATTTTGCATAAAATTAGCTAAGCAAAATTCAATCACGAAAAATATCGATATATCGGTGTTATCGGTATTTTTGTTCCGGTATCGGTTTTCGTTTTTTTTTCAAATACCGCAACAGCCTAGTAAAAATAGAGTCACGATCTTTCTCAACGGCCAGTTTAGAATAGTTTATACCTGTAAATTCCACATATAAATCATAAGCATTCTCTAGTTATAATCACTCCGCGTATTTTCAGTTCTAAAATGTTGTATTTCGGCTGATGAGAAAGATCGTGACTCAATCTTTACGATCAATCTTGAGTGTCAGTGCTGTTTTTGAATAGCTGATGGTTAGTGTCGTACCTTACATGTAGTATATAAGCATTGAGCATGAATCTATATAACCATATTCATTGGCATTGCAAACTAAACGAATTCCTTCCAATTTTTCACACAGGAAATTTTATGCTGCTCACGAAGCGCCCGCCAAAAAACCGAAAAAGAAGAAGTGCATTATCCTATAAGAATCTGAATATCAAACAAAAAAAAAACTTCATGAAACGACGACAAAACAGCATAAATAAACACACGAGATGAATTCGAAAAGACTTTGTACAGTACAGGGGAAAATTGTGTTCTGAAAAACTGTCGGAATAGGACGACGTTGAGCGTGGTTTGCAAAAGCCGTCAGTTGAGATTCAAAGGTTCCTTTTATTAATTTTTCAGTCAAGTCTAAAAAGCGTATAGTTATGTTATATATAGATAAAAAATACAGAAATTCGCCGACATTACCTCGGCGAATTTTTGCCTAGATTTTGCCAGAGCTGTCTCTTTAAAAGATTATTGGGGTGACCGGACATTATTTATGGAGGGAGGAGGGGTTTTTTCCTCTCCTAAATTTAAAAAAAATTGAAAGCTCCCCCCCCCTAAAAGAGCTGAAATGGTCCCCCATGCTCTTTCCCCCATGACAAGAGCTCTTTCCCCCATGACAAAAAGACTGGTCATTATTTGTAGGTGACACCAAAGAGAAATGTTTTCTCCGTAAAAATTTTGCTAATCCAACAACCATTAGAAAGAAAAAAAAATACCCACCCCTGGCCAAAAACAAAAGGATACCATTCAGTTGTCACACATGTCCTTTACCACTTCTGTGACACGAGTTTGATAACTGCTTGTGCAATTTTCTGCAGTCTGAAGTTTCATGTTGTCTGCACATGTACTTTCTTTGGAGACACCATTTGCCTCGTGACAAATCGGAAAATGATCAAGATAGTGACTCTGATTTAATAATTGTATTGACCTGTGACTGTTGAGATTGCTTTTTAGTCTTCAATATTAGAGCGAGTCATGCTTTGGGAATGACAATAAATTTCTATTACCCAAACCCTTGAGTTGTTTTGTTTTTCATTTACCCAACCTTTTACTCACTCAAAATTTTGTTGACCCAACCCTTTTCTCTTTGGTGTCTCCTCCCC